TGTGTGTGCGTGTTGTTGTTTTTTTTGGGGGGGGAGTTGGTTGTTCTTATTGCCTTATTGTTGTTGTTGTTGTTGTTGTTGTTGTTGTTGTTGTTGTTGTTGGGTTTGTTTGTTTTTTTGTTTTGGTATTTTTTTCAGGGGTGTTAGTTTACTTGTTTGTTTGTGTGTTTGTTTGTTTGTTTGTTAGGGGGGGGTGCTGCCTGTCTCCAAAGACATTTTAGGTTGGCATGAAGTATAAAAGTTGTCAGGAAGTAAAAGAAAAAAAAGGGGGGGGGGTCGAGTGGTTGTTATTATTTTCCTGAGTGTGTCACTTGTGGTTTTCAAAGACGAAACACCGACCCCAAGCTCTATCTAAAGCATCTGATTGAGAGTGCAGGAAGGCCAGTAGCCCCCGGAGCCATCTCTGCCCTACGACAGGGATCTTTGCCCTCCGACAGGAATCTCTGCCCTACAACAGGAATCTCTGCCCTACGACAGGAATCTCTGCCCTACGACATGGATCTTTGTACTCCGACAGGAATCTCTGTCCTACGACAGGAATCTTTCCCCCCTTTACCCGGTGTCACTTGAGACTCCAATCACGCACTAATTGCGATCCCCTAGCCTCACGGGGAGAAGAGAGAGAGGGGGGGGGGCGAGGTATGGGATATGGGGAAAGGGGAAGGGTATGTAGTTGTTGGGTTTTTTCTGTCACCCGCAGACCTTTTGGCATAAGGATGAGCATGGTTTGTTTGCCTCTTTGTTTGTTTGTTTATTTTTATTATAGATTTTTTATGTTCTTGTCTTTTATGTTCTTGTTTTGGGGGTGTTTGTTTTGTTTGTTTGTTTTGGCGTGGTGGTGTCGTATTGGGGTGGGTAGGGGGTTGTGTTTCTATCCTCCATCAATCTTAAATCACAAAGTTATTATGAGCCTTCTGCCCAAAGGGATAACGGTTCTTCATTCATCCAAAGATATTTTTGGCTGAGTTAATAATAAGAGTTTGCTTTTATTTCATTTTGCATTTTAACTGTTGCTTATTTTTTAAACTGATTTTTTTATTTGCCTGTTTTTTGTTTGTTTGTTTGTTTGTTTGTTTACTTATTTGGAAGGGTTTTCTATGTTAAAAAAGACATTTTAGGCTGAGACGTGCTTCAGCGTTGTTTGTTTGTGTGTGTACGTGTGTGTGTGTGTGTATGTATGTATGTATGTGTGTAGGTGTGTGTGTGTGGGGGGTGTGTGTGTGTG